CTGTCAGAATCTAATCCTGAGGTTCCTCCCAGATGACTTTATGTCACAGTCATGGGGGCGGGGGTGGGTGCGCAGGCCCCACCTGGAACAGCACTGTGGCCTCGGATTTCATCCTGTTGGTACCTGACAGCGGGGATCATCTAAATGGATCTTCTCAGGTGTTTCCTTTACTGCAATGGAAGCTGGTCAGCATATTTTATCATCAGGGGTGAATAGCATTTGAAGTTGTGTTCTGTGTCTTCTGAATTTGTGCCAGCGTTTGCACAGTGTGCTGACCTCGTTAATCTCTCCTTTTCATACAAAGTTCAGAATATATTTGGTAATGTTCACAAAAAAACTTTCTGAGTTATTGCTTGTGATTGAGGTCAGAACATGGAGCAAACTGAGAAGAGACATTTCAGGCTGCTTCAACAAAGCAGTCAGCCTCAGATTGCTGTGGTTCGATCCCCACAACTCCAGCCAGCCAAACATGCCCTGAAGGCGTTCTGAGCCAGCCAAAAAAAAAAAAAAAAATCCTTGGGGGGCCGGGGAGATGGCTCAGTAGGAATAAGCACTTCCCTGGCAAGTGCAAGGGCTGGAGTTCAATCCCTGGTTCTGCCAAAAAAAAAAAAAAAAAAAAAGAAGAGACATTTCAGCTCGAGTGACAGACATGGAAGTGCTAATTGTTGTTCAGCTTAGTGTTGCTGCAAGCTGAGGTTGATGAAGGTGTGGACTGTCTGCCCTCCTATTTTAGACCACGTTTGAATCAAGTAGGTTTTACATTTTTCAGGGCTATTTTTCTAGTAGCGATAGCAGAATGGCAGAAGGCAGTGACCTCTGTTGAGGGCCCAACTCTAACCTTTGCACCCCCAGCCCATGGCCCTCACCACTGCAGTGTAACATGTAGGCACAGCAGTAGACACCTGCATAACACTCAACTTCAGATGTGTAATTAAAGGGACACCTGAGCATTTCACTTTTCTTTCAGGGTAACATAAATTATGTTGTATTTCTAAGTTGAAATGCTTATGTTCAATTGTGATATGTAAAAAGCAGCTTGGTTTTGAGTCAGGCATGGTGGCGGGCACACTTCTGAAATCCCAGAATTCAGGATACCGAGGCAGAAGGATTGCAAGTTCTAGGCCAGCAGAGTTTACCCAGAAACATAGAGAGACTCTGGCTCAATAATAAAACCAACAAGCTTTCAGAATTTTTAGGTATGAGCCTTGTGCTGCTCAAGTACGCTCAGTGTACGTGGACCACAGACAGACATGGTTTTCCCTGCAGATATTTAGATCCGATGGACACACTGTGCGTGCTGGCCGTGGTGGCCATAGCTGGAATGTCGGCTCTCAGGAGGCCGAGGCTAGCAGACTGCTAGGGGTTCCAGGCCAGCCGGGGGCCACAGTGATTTTTCAAGGCCAACCTGGGCTACATTCTGAACACCTATCTTTTCATTATCGTTCTTTTAAAAAAGCACTGGACAGCAGTGTTAAATTGAATATAGGTGCCCTAGTTTGCCTTTGCGCTCAGGCTTATGTGCTCCTCACTCTCATTTTCCTGTTTTCAGGCCTCGTCACTCTTTGCACCTAGGTCTAGTTAATATTCAGGGCAGGCACCAAGCTCCTCTGTGATTGTTCTACTCAGTCTCCCCCCAGCCACTGCAGTGGCCTCCACCCTGTCAATGCTGTCTGTCTGTATCTTCACAGGCGTAATGTTCTTGTCTACCTGCCTGATTTCTCTCACGATGGAACAGGAGCTCCTGCAGCTCAGTGGTGCAAGAGATGGCCCAATAGACACAGACATGAGCCACTAATGCATTCCCACCTACTGTTGCAACACAGAACATTACCAGATATGTAAGCGCTGATAAACTACTCTTAACTTTTCATATAAGAAACGAAAAAAAAAAAAAAAAAAACAAAGAAATGAAAATGACAGAGCCCAAGGCCTGAGGCTTCTAATCAAGAACAAAACCTTACACGTTTATAACGACTTGATCAATTCCTTCAAGCAGCATTCGAGTAAACTTGTTACACAAAGGAGAATTTGTCCTCTGCAAATATGGATAGTTTTACAATTTGAAAGAGAAGATGAAAAGTTTAGAGACTCTTTCTCACTGCATATGTGTTGCAGAATTTTTAAGAGGTGGGAGAGAAGTGTGAGAAATAGGAGGACTTCATTAGCTGCGTCCATCCAGTTCAGCTGTCCAAAAGCTTGAGTGCAGGGCCAGGAAAAGGTTCTAGGGTTATACACAGGGCAAGCGTTCTGCTTGTTCACTTGCACACAAACATCTCAGGCTTCAGAGAGCTGCAGACATTCTTGTAGTGAAGTTTAGTTCTTTAGGAGCATTTCAACCTGTGGGGACAGTAGGATGTCACAGATACCATGGGGAGTTACACAGAGCACATTTCTTCAGAATCATCAGGGTCATTCTTATCAGGACAGAGCAGAGGTCAGACTTCAGCAAAGCAGGATGCCACAGGACTCTGTTGGGTAGAGCACAGGTGTTAACCTTATCTGTCCCCTCCCACAGGCATGTTCTTTCAGGGAGGGAAGTCTCTGGAAAATTTGCTCAAGATTGTTTTCCTTGTGAGTTCTGCTTTATTTAAGGAGTTCACATGTGCTAAGAGGTAGCATTCTCATTCTTGGGCTCAGGAACTCGGTTTCTCTGTCAGGCAAGCAGTGCTGGTCAGCTGGGGTGAAGAAGAGCAGAAAGAATCCACTCACGCTCAGAGCTCAGCAGGAACCCGGCATCAGTACCTGCTCTAAGGGGAAACCTGGGGGCTGAGATGCAGAGGTTGTAACTCAAAAATCAAATGACAACGAGGCAAGTCCAAAAGTTAAAGAAGCGCTTCATTTTAGCAGGTACCCTGTGGTGGTCTCTATGCAAGAGTGCAGAGAGGTGCACCAAGTACAATCTAAGATCTGCTTTTAAGCTCCAAAACCGCAAGTAAGGGGTGGAATCAATGCAGCAAGCTAGGTACAGAAGCAAATGGCATTGGTTAGCGGGAGGTGACCTTTAAGGGGACTGGAGGGATTGGCTATCGTCGTCTTAGGCTCATATTGCTAGGGAACATCTGGGGCCAGAACACAGCTGGTGTTTTTCTACGTTTAGTTATCTTCCTGGTCAGATGTGCACAGGAACTAGGTTGTAGAAAAGACAAGGTTATAAATCAACTATAAGTACAAAGGGGTGAAGCTGGAAAAAACAAGGTCGTAAATTAACTATCAGCACAAAGGATGGAGTTGGAGTCCTAATGGCTGCTTACAGACCAAAAGGCTTCAGTTTGGTCAAGTGGGTTACAACACAGAGGACAATGGAGATGGCTGGGAGCAGGTGGTCAGAGGTGGAGGTCAGCATCTCAGGAGGGAATTGCTAAAAAGCCAGGTTTGTGATGTGAGGGTTATCGAATGCAGGAGCACAGATCAGAGGGGGAATGGGGTTGCCGATCACAGGAGAGGGCTGCTTGCCTCTCATTATTTTCATTGGAATTTGAGGTTATGTGAGGGATTTTTTCCTTCCACATGCTTTAGCGTAGAAAAATTAACAGCAGTTATGTGTGCAGTTCTTATCAATATTTTCTGTGAAGTGGGCTTCATAATGTCAGGATTCAGCCACAAATTTATTTCTCCAGATATTTAACACACATTGGAAAATAACAAGAGACAGCTGATAAACATGATTTCCTTTTTCTTTTCTCATTACCTTTATTGAAAATCAATAATTACATAGCATATCAAAAATTGTAGAGAAATAGTGAAATGTGAAAGATATAAGATGTGGACAGAGTAAGTTTTAGAGCAATAATTCTGAAATGAATACAAAGCATGAGATTAATAATAGATTGCACCTTGTAAATAAATTATTTACAAACTTAAATGAATATAACAATAAAAACTGTCCAAAACAAAAATGAAGCAGAAAGAATTTACTGATCAGTCATACAATAGTTTACTCTGTGCCAAAACCAAGAAACTTATATTCATATAATTCGAATTCTCCAAGTAGAAAGGTGTACATAATAAATATTAAAAGATTTTAAATTTCTGAATTTAGTTGAAATCATACCACCACATTTCCAAGAAAAATGAAACTTTTGCATAAGACATTTGAATAAAATCATACCAAGATACACAAAAATTAAATTGTCCAAAACTAGTTGTAAAGAAAAAATCATTAAAGCATATACATAAAAATTAGCTATGGAAGGACAAAATTTAATAGTATCTTATTCCACAGTAGGAAAAAAAAGAAGAGCAAGTGTATAAGAAACTAACTAATTAATTCAAAGGACCAAAAGAAAAAAAGTGTTTGTCCTCATAGAATTTTTTTTTTGTGGAACCGGGGATTGAACTCAGGACCTTGTGCTTGCCAGGCAAGCACTTATTCTACTGAGCTAACTCCCTGGCTCCCTCATTGAATTTTGTACTTAGCAAACATATGTTTGAAATCTAAATGTAAAGCATTTTCCAGTTATACAAACTCAAAATACTCTAATACCTCCAGAGGTAGCATATAGAAAATAACAAAGAGCATAATCCAGAAGGGAAGAGAAGTTACTTTATAAAAAATAAAGAGCTCTCAAAATGGTAGTTATGCAGGATTATGTAAAATATATTAGATGAGGGGGTTTTACTGGTTAGCTCAGTTGTTTAAGCACTTGCTGGGGCAAATCCAGTCAGGTGCAGGGGATTGTGGCTTGATCTCCAGCTCCACATGCCTTAGGACACCAGCCCCTAAAGCAACCTAAGCCAGCCAAAAAATAAAATAAATAAAATAAAAAAATAAATCTAAAAAAAAAAATTCTAGTAGCTTCTTGGTGGAGTTTTTTGGGTCTTCCAAGTAAAGTATCATGTCATCTGCAAATAAAGATAATTTAACTTCTTC